AGCTATTCTCGTAAAATTCTGGTCATTGTAGTTGTTATAGTGAGTGATCATTGTTATTGTAGTTGTTGTTAGTTATTGTTGTAGTCAGAGTCTATGGGAATGAAAATGTGAGGTGGGATTATGATTCAAGATTTGAAGCTTGATTTTCAACCCCGCGTAGCTGGACCACACTACAGGGGCGTTCTTTTTACGTCTATTCCCCATCATGCATTCCAGAGACTGGCAACATATTCTGCAAGCAACACTACGTAAAAGGCCTGAAGGTGCAAGGTTTCATGGCTTGTGTATCGCCCACCAGCAGGCCCGGCCGCATTGCTGCTCTCTTGTGGGCTTTAGGCGCCAAGCCGCACAGAAACAGCCAGCAGCAGCAGGTTTCCTCGTCTGATGAAGCCAAGAAACTACTTTCAAGGGACAAAAGGAGGGACCCTTATAAGGGACCCTAGGGGTTATACCGCTATACCCCTTCATACTGTCATAGGGCTCCACTAGCACAGCCACCGTCATCTAGCGCCTGCCCTTTGGCCTGCACTAGGCAGCCAGGAACAGCTAACGCCGAAACCCTGAACATGAGTCCGAACCCAGACACAAACCGTCCACATCCTTCTAAGCCGCAACCCCTAAAACACTCAAACCCCTGAAAACCCTAGTGACAGCCCACTCCTCCCAAACCAGAACATGCGCCTAGCTTCTGGGATAGCGGCGCTTCAGGGCACCTGCCACCGCGTTCCAGGCCTCTCACATGTTCTGGGCCCCGGCACTATACTGTGTGCGATGTGCAACTTGCCCTACTCTTGAACCCGACTTCTGAACCACGCAACCTTCTCAACTAGCCGGCCAGGCGAATAACTTACCTTTGCTCATCATGGTTGTTCTGTTCTCCATATCGTTGATGTTGTTGATGGCTTCTGCCCAAGTCAAGAGAAACTGCCAAAGCTCCGAGCCCTCATCCCACCTACATCACTGCATCACTCATCAGAGCCGAAACCCCGTGGCGCCCAAGATGTGCTTCCGCTGCGAGCCTCCAGCAGGCGCGCTGCCTTCCTGGGGCTGGAGCAGCTATACCAGGAAACAGCGAGGAAAATCGTCGAGCCAGTTGCGTAGAAAGACAGTATCTATATTGCGGGGAAAAGAAACTCGGGCCGAGTCTCGATGGCGACCCCTGGCGCAACATCGCGGTGGCCGCCCCCGAGCTAGCCTGCGAGACCTCGCCTAGAGTTGCTTGCCGCTTGCCGCCACCCGTTGGCCGGCGCAACACTCGCCGGTACGCGGCCTCTGCGCCCCGAAAGTCTCCCAGCCGCCGCAGTGCCGTTCCTCGTCGCAGTGCTGCTGCCGCGAAGTCGGGCGCGAGGCGCATGGCCGTCGCGAACTCCTCGGCTGCCTGGCTGTCGCGGCCCAGCTTCTGCAGCGCATCTCCCAGGGCGCAATGCGCGTGCGGGCGTAGGGCCTCCGGAAGCCCCGAAGGGTCCTCGAGGACTTCCCTCCAGGCCGCAGCGGCGTCCTGCCAGCTGCGGGCCTCGGAGAGAGCCAGGGCCTCATGGAAGCCGGGTGACTGCGCCTGCCGCTGGATCCTACAAGGCCTGCCAGCAAAGCGCAGGCGCAGGCTGGTGGGGATCGACCCCGCAGCTGGCACGGTAAAGTGAGCATGCCAGACAAGTGCAACAAGCAGCGCTGCATGCCGCGAGGGGATATTGAAAACATGGTGGCTATGCCATGCTGTCATGGTCTGCTGCCATCGGCTGTTGACTCTGCCTTGGCTAGCCTGTCTCTGCCAATCTTGGATGACACGTACACTAACCCCATCCGTAAACACGGCGCAGCCTTGATCAAAGAAACAAACCATTTCAAACCCGGTACCGGACTGCCAGGAGAAGTAGCCTGCTTGGATCCGGTTCAGGGGCTAGCCTGCTCTAGCACCTAGCCGTAAAAAAGCTAGAGTCTGAACATTTGGGATTTCAGCTGTAGGGGCATCTTCTCTCGGATTTCGGAGTCAACTGCAGACTCATCTGTGGACTTGGATCTCCCACCTAGGCTTCTTGCTTGGATTCTGCCGGCTGCGGTTCCAGAGCGAGCCCGAAAGAAACACAGATGCTATGGGAATGTTCAGGGAAAGTTCAACCGATGCCCTGCTGAGATGCGGGAATCGAAATTCGCAAGACTCGCGTTTGCCATGAAGCAGATCTACTTAATCCCCCAACAAAAAACACCACCTCGAAAAATCCAGAAGGATATGAAGTTGCAGTGGGGGGAAGGGAGTGCCTTATGAAGAGCCACAGGCCCCCCCTAAACCCTAAACCCTAAACCCGAAACACCTCAAACCTGCCTATGGAGGCCACAGTCTGCCTCTGGTCCTGAGTATAGCACCGCTGTCCTGAGCGCGGCCTTAACGTCCCTAGCGCTTTAAAGGCAGCATTCCGGCACAATTGCCCACGAGCCTTCCCCAACCTGTGCTCAGCATTCCGGTACAATTGCCCGCCTGAGCCTCCCTGGCCTACTGTCCGGCACGGCTGTCCGCCTGTGCGTCCATGGCCTGCTTATTCAGGCAACCTTCCTGTGCAGTTGCCTGCCTTGGGCCTCCATGACCTGTTTGTGCAAGTCATGTCACATTCCGGTCTTTGTGGCCTGCCTTTGTCCTGAATGTTGTACTGTACTGCCTGCTGTCCTGAGCACGTCGCGTCACATGATGCGAGCGACTGTGCCCTTGAATTCAACCACCTCACTTGCGGGTTGGCAACAAAATTGTCTGGGCCTAATATGATGGGTAATCTGCGGGTCTAAACCATAGACCCTCTTGCAACTGGACTGACCTCTCTCTCTCTCTCAGGAATGCGATACGTCAACATGACCTAAACCCTAAGACCTCAGAAAGGGCGGGGTGCATTTAAGGGTCCAGGACGCCTTGAGGCTTTGGCCAGACTTGAGTGAAAGGTTTCGGGCTTTGTCACCTGTGACCTGGTTTATGTTTTAGGGTTTAAGGTTTAGGGTTTAGTTGGTTCAGGGTTGAAGGTTTAGGGTTTAGGGGTTAAGGCTTCGGGTGTAAGGTTTATATAGGTTTTAGGGCTTCGGGTTCCAAGGTGCTTGTTTAGAGCTTACGGTTTAGGGCGCCAAAGTTTCGGGCTGCCTTTTTCGATCTTGGCCGGATGGAGGGCCAGGAAAATCAGGGGCGGCGACTTCCCATCGGCCCCTGCGCAAACAATGTCCCAAAGCTTCCCGACGCAATCCCCCAAAACCCCGCGCGCAGGCTACCGGGAAGTAAACACCAAAACCCTAAATTTCTTTTTTTTGGTCAACCCAAGCTCTCCTACAAGTAAGCTAAACATAACCAAACCCTACACCCGAAAATCCTAAACTGCAAGTACCTTGATGCCTTATATAAATGGCCTGCCAAGACGCAGGCTCTTGGGGCTTTGCATCCAGGGAACCGGGGGGTGAAACGAGGGTTTAGGGTTTAGGGTTTAGGGTTTAGGGTTTAGGGTTTAGGGTTTAGGGTTTAGGGTTTAGGGTTTAGGGTCCATAAACCCTAAACCTTAAACCCTAAAGCCTAAGGGCCGAAACCCTCAAATGCTAAGCCCTTTGTCAGCCTAATCACCCTAACAGGGTTTAGGGTTTAGGGTTGCGGGCTTGGGGTGTAGGGGTTAGGGAAAACCCCAATATACCTCCTCATATACCCCAAGAGCTGATGACATACCCTACTATACCCTAAATGCCCTAACATGCCCGACTATACCTTACCCCATTGACCCCACTAAGTCCCCTGATTAAAAGCCTCAACCCTAGATACCGTACCAGAATCCGTGACCCTTTTTGCAACAGGCTTGCGGGTTCTCGCCTGGACCCTAAACCCTAAATCCCAAATCCTAAACCGCAAACCGCAAACCCTAAACCCTAAACCCCAAACCCCAAACCCTAATGAAACCCTAAACCCCAAACCCTAAACCCTAAACTGGCCCTAAACCCCAAACCCCAAACCCTAAACCCTAAACCCTAAACCCTAAACCCTAAACCCCAATCCCTTAACCCTCAACCCTTCGGAATCTGGGCCAAGGCTGCGCTCACTTCGGAGTCGCTTGTGTTCTGCGTCGGTTCAACCTGCGGGTTTAGGGGCTTTAGGGTTTAGGGTTTAGGGTTTCGGGTTTCGGGTTCAGGGTTTCGGGTTTGGGGTTTAGAGTTTAGGGTTTAGGGCTTGGGGTTTAGGGTTTAGGGTTTAGGGTTTGGCGTTTAGGGTTTCGGGTTTAGGGTTTAGGGTTTAGGGCTTCTGGTTTAAGGATTTGGAACCTTGAGGGTTTAGGGTCGGGATTGGGGGGCTGGTTTCGCAGGTTTTGTGGGTTTTGGGGGTTGTGGGGTTGTGGGGTTGTGGGGTTTCAGGACTTTAGGCTTGAAGGGCTTTCTTCGCGAGCATAAAGCAGACCAAGCCACACGACGGCTTGAGGTCTTTTGGGGAGTTAGGCTTTTGTGCAGGGTTTAGAGTTGCGGGGTGAAGTTAGGGTTTAGGTTTCACAGCTACGCATCGCGTCTTCTGCACGGACCCTGGAGCGGAGTTGAAAGGTATAGCTTCATGATTCCTACCACAAACCCTAAACCCTAGGCCCTAAACCCTAAACCCTAAACTCCAAAAAAAGAAGGGCGACCCCAAAAGCTTGAAGTTCAGCCGTGGGCTAAGTCAAGTCCTCTAGCCCCAAGGCAAGCAGCAGGCTCAGAACGGAGATTCGCCCAAGCCCCACTACTGAAACCCTAAACCCTAAACCCAAAGCCCTGCCAAAAAAACTAGAGTTCCATGGCCCGACAGAACAAAGGATTGGGGACCAGACATGGGTTTAGGATTTAGGGCTTTGGCTGTCACACTCGCACAGGGCAGGCAAGGATTCGGTCCGAAGGTCTGTCGTCTGAGGTAAGCCGGATTTCTGCAAACTAGGGTTTGGGGTTAGGGTTTAGGGCTACTTGGGAGCTATGAACAGTATTTCCAAGATCAGCCCCAGAAGTTTGGAGGGTGGCCCCTGTCCGCCTCAGAAATGTTGCGGCGCCCACTCGAAGATGCCACTCGCCCAGGCCTGGTTTAGGGTTTAGGGTCTAGGGTCTAGGGTTCTCGGTTTAGGGTTTAGGGTTTAGGGTTAGGGTTTAGGGTTTAGGGTTTAGGGTTTAGGGTTTAGGGGTTAGGGCTGCCTAAACCCCAGGACCAAGACCCCTGGCTTGACGGCCCTAAATCCGACCTAGACTTCAAGCCCTAAACAGCAAGCTTCACGCTTCACGGCCCTAAGCCCTGCATGAACTTTGAGGCCCAAAGATTACGTAGGAATCTGGGCACGTACTCACACTTGTGTTCATGACTTAGGGCTCAGGGTTCATGATCTTAGGGTTTAGGGTTTTTAGGGTTTAATTAGTTAGGGTTTAGGGATTAGATTACTTTGGCTGCACGGTGCATCGGGAGAAGCATGCTTGTACAAATCGCAACACACGCCAGTGCCCAGGCCTCGTAGTCTGGAGAAGGTGGTGTGAAGCGCCAGGTTCTCCGGTCTAAATGCATCTGGTAGAAGCCGCGCATGGAAATGGCCGGATACCTGGGCGTCAAGAGTGCTCCTAAAACCTTTCTTCCGGAGTTGAGGATTCAGTTGAGACAACCGCATTTCTCAAGGTGTTGGGGTTGAGGGCACGGCGTGCGGACGAGCCATGAAATGGCTGCCAGCGGGGAAACCACCATTTTGGAGAGCTGAGCCACCTTTCTTGTTCCAGAGTTCGGGGTTTAGGGATCCAGGTCCTGAGCCTCCCTGAGGAGGAGGCTAGGTCGAGAAGCTGTTTCTCTCTCTCTCTCTCTCTCTCTCTCTCTGCTTTAGGGTTGACGGCCCTTGGCCCCTTTTCTGCCAGCCCTCAACCCCAACACCCGGAGCTCAACCTCCGAAAAGCCTTAAGTTTGGGCTGCACCGTGTACCATGCGCATGATCCGAAGCCCTTTTGAAACCGGACTTTGTTGACCCTAAACCCTAAACCCCTAAACCCCTAAACCCCCTACTAAATCCCCTACTAAACCCCCTACTAAATCCCCTGCTAAACCCCTTAACCCCCTAAACCCCCTAAACCCCAAGCCCGAAACGGGCTTAGGGTTTAGGGTTTAGGGTTTCGGGTTTCGGGTTTAGGGTTTAGGGTTTAGGGTTTAGGGTTTCGGGTTTAGGGTTTAGGGTTTAGGGTTTATATTCCAAGCCATGGCTGCCAGTCGCGGCCTGTCAGCTCGGCCTTGATGATGTAGCCCTCCTTGGAGGTTCATGGGTACTTCTAAGTGGGGTAATAAGTAGGGTTTAGGGCTTAGGGCTTAGGGCTTAGGGTTTAGGGTTTAGGGTTTGCGGTTTGGGGTTGGGGTTTAGGGTTTAAGGATTTATCTCCTACATAAACCCTGTAAGGCACCTTACAGCCGCTGGAGCAGACCCTTAATTGTACCCGTGACCAGTAGCCCTGAACCTGTTCCCCGACTCAAGCCGGGTTCATGGGCCGACAAAACTAGGGCGACAGTCACCTTAATGAGAGTCGTATAAACCTGCTTGCAACCCTCCCTCTTCCTACCCGTGAACCTTATCAAGGTGCGCACGCTCCCTCTGGGAAGGAATACACCCACCTTCACTTTTTCAAAAACGAGGACCGCTTTTAGGGTGCCAGGTTGGGATGTTCCCCCTTAGACGGGCAGTCCGTAACAGGGATTATAGTACCCTCTATTCTGATCCCTACTTAGGACTGTCAGCACAAGAGGGAACATCCCAAGCGCAAGGCATCTTCCCTTTTTTCAGCTTCAGGAGGGCTTTTGGGGTATGAGAACACATTGGGGGGCTCTCTGCCGAGGTGCAATCGCTCGGGCAGCTCTCGAAATTAAGGTCCCTTTTTGGTACCCCCTATATAGTACACGGCACCCTTGAAATAGGGAACCCAAATTGGGAGCCTAATTTTGGAGAACTATCCCGTTATCTATCAGAGAACCAAACCTCAACAAAAGGGGCTTCGTTGGTTTTGCAATCAGACAAACCAAACCATAACAAAAGAGATGTCATTGGAACTATGTGCTGCAGTGCGAGGTTTAAAAATGAAAAATGAAAACACAAGGGCTCTTTGTTGCTTGTGTTTTTGAACTACTGGCATCAGAGTTACAAATCTAACAAAACGGACAGGGAAACACGGAATCCTGAACGTCGGGCACCTTGCGCGTTCGGCACAAGCCCCCCCGAATTAAGATCCCCGGCCAAGCTTGCACTGATGAAATAGCCATTCGCCTCAGCCTTCCTTTCCTACGAATTGCGTTGGAACCCCCAGAAATGTAAAAATGTTCTTCCTCATAAGGGTAATACAGGTTTTTTTTTACTTTTTGGGGGGTTCTTAAGCAAATAGTAGTTTCCATTCCTAACCCTTGAAGCCCTGGTATAGCACCCCAACCCTTGCAGGTACAGCACAGACTGCGGCCAAAGGTCCTCGTTCTCGTTGTGCCATTTGCCTTGGTGCGAGAGGCGCATGACACCTGACAGGGTGGCGAGGGGACGATCAGGGGAGGCCCTAAACCCTAAACCCTATACCCTATACCCTAAACCCTAAACCCTAAACCCTGACCCTAAACCCAAACCCTAAACCCTGGCACTCTCAGGAGCTCCGCAACATCAAGGGGCCCCCGTATTGGGGTTTAGGGCTTAGGGTGTAGCAGTGCTGTTGGGGATGTTCCATTCTCCTTTCTGGTCCTAAGGATTTAGGGTTTAGGGTTTAGGTTTTAGGGTTTAGGGTTTAGGGTTTAGGGTTTAGGGTTTAGGGTTTTCGAGAGCTTGCCACCTGCGTCCAGGTCGATGGCGAGGCCGAGGACAGTCCCTTGCTTCCACGGCTGTATCTTCACCTCTAGGGTTTAGGGTTTCGGGTTTAGGGGATTTAGGGCTTAGGGTTTAGGGTTTCGGGCTTAGGGCTTACTTATAGGGTTCAGGTTCACCTTGTTGGGGTTGGCAGCGCTTCGTGGCGAATCCTCTACCTGGTGGCTTCCGCGCTTTATGATGACGATGACTTTCTTGCGGTTGGTTTCACAAGTAGTCTTTATGTTTGGACAGCTCGTGTGTCATGTTAAACGGGCAGCAAAACTTAGTACTCTTCCTGCAGTTACTGATTTCCTTTCTCCGACTGTGCTAACATTGCTGCGGTTTCTTTTGGTACGATTGCTGATTTTCCAGCTAGGGCATTAAGGCTTTCCATTGGTATGATTGGGCACGAGTTGCGGTGGGCTCGACAAAAACGCGATAGTGTCAAAGATTACGTCGCGATGTCTCGAACCGGCTTGAGATACCCCGCTTGTGTTCTGGCATTTTGGGCCTGCTCCAAAACAGCAGCTACATGTTCGACAACAAACTACCAGTAACTTCCAATACTAGGGGGAACTAGCCACCACTTTTGAGTTGTCTCGCACGGAGAACAAACAGCAGCTGAACGACATTCACCTAGCTGGAGTACGTTCATTCGCAAAACACCTGAAGTGGAACCAAGAAAACTGTGGTGCAGCCTGTGCTCGGACCTTGAGCGGGCAAACTAAGCGAGAAGCTAGTCTCAAATTGCGAACACTACAACACCAGGAAAGACTAAACATCTTGCTGGCTGAACTCTCTTAAGTACGCTAAGTTGCCATTGCTGGCTGAACTCTCTGAAGTACGCTAAGTTGCCATTGGCAAGGGTGGACGACAAAGGCTTGGCGAAGAAATCAGCTCCGTCTGTGCCCTCATCATGCTATTATCTGACACTATTTCTGCACGAACAGAGTCACACACACACATACCGACTTCCTACATTTGCAACATTAGCCATTTGATGGTTACAAATAGGTACTTGGATCGAATAGTACTGTTATTGCTCCATTGCCACTATTGCCTTTTTTGTACTGGCTTTGCTGTCAAGGCTCGTCCTGCGCTCACTATAACTACAATGAACCAATGATTCAAGACACTACGAGTACTGGCATTGATGCAAGGAAAATTGAAACCGATGCTATTACGCACTGCTATGTTTTTTACACCATGATTACAGCTGTAACTTCTTGTCATGAGTCATGAGTACATTCCTTACCAGGGAATGTTGTGACGCTTTTGATTGTCCTACTCTCACTGCATATTCCTACAACTATCGGTAGTACAATTCGCGCTAGTACGGCCATGACTACTGCGCATTACTTATCGCAGTGAGACACCACAAAATACTCTCACGAACACGATCAGCACTAGAAGAACCCAACTTATACTGCGAGGGCTACTGCTAACTACTAATTGCTTAAGAACCTGCTAGAAAGAATCGAAAGTATTCTTCCTTATGATTAAAAGGGTAACATAGGGATAGTTGGTTTAAATTATTTGTTTGGGGGTTCTTAAGCAAGTAGTAGTAGTGAACAGCACAGCCACCTTACGAACACCTCCCGGCTTCGATTCCCGCCTTCATTGACTTGCCAGCCTTCCACTGCAGGTGGCGGTCGCCGTCGAAACCGTAGCCCTCCTCGTCGTCCCCGAGGCCTTGGCAGCGCAGTAAATGGGTTTAGGGTTTAGGGTTTAGGGCTTAGGGTTTAGGGCTTAGGTTTATAGGCGAACCAGGAAACCAAAAAAAAAACGGGTAAACGGTACCACTGGGCTACCAAGCGGCCGTTCCCATCTTGCTCTCCCTCCTTGAACTTGGTGGACCTGGGACTCTACTCCTGAATTTCTACGCCGCGCTTCTGAAGCTGCAGGGCTTAAGTCGGGGGACTCAACTCCCCCCTGAATTAACACAGGGCTTCTGGAGTTTTAGGGCTTAGGTCGGGGGCTTCGCAGGTATGAGCCAGAGCACAAAAACACCGTAGGTAAACTAACCCTAAACCCTAAACCCTGAACCCTGAACCCTGCAAATGGAGTCCCAAGAACATCCATCCCACTCGAAGGAACCCTGAACCCTGAACCCTGAACCCTAAACCCTAAACCCTAAACCCTAACCCCTAAACCCCTAAACCCCAACCCCTGCAAAATGCAGCCCCAAGAACATCCATCCCACTTGAGGGTTGCTAAGGTCGCTGATCAGCTGGATCTCGTGGTAGAGCTTCCCGCTGCCGCGGGCGGCTTCTTTGGCCCCGGCGGTCAGCCACAAACTCCGCAGCTCCTGAAATCCATCCTCAGCTGGCCCCCTGAATATAATAATACAGTAATACAAAAGCATTTTGGTATAAAACTAAAATGCGATAAAATACAGGAAAAAACAATGTTACGAAATACCAATATCATAAATCGCGAATATAATCATATCAACTCCTCCTTGAAACATATTCTTAAGAACATCTTCTTACTGCTGGCAAGGGCAAAAACTGCGGGGCAAAAGATCCCAAGGCCCTACCGAGCAGCACGCCATCCCTCCTCCATTGGCAGCTCCGTGGGCCGGAGGCATCGCAGGCCCACGAGGCAAGGCTTCCCAGCGCAGGTGCTGCCAGCTCGCCAGTCCTGGGAAGCAAAGCGGCTGCTCTTCCGGCGCGGTTTAGGGTTTAGGGTTTAGGGTTTGGGGTTTAGGGTTTAGGGTTTGGGGTTTAGGGTTTAGGGTTTGGGGTTTAGGGTTTAGGGCTTAGGGCTTAAGGTTTAGGGTTTAAGGTTTAGGGTTTAGGGTTTAGGGTTTAGGGTTTAGGGTTTAGGGTTTAGGGTTTAGGGTTTAGGGTTTAGGGTTTAGGGCCATCGCAAGACACCCCGACTCCAGGCCCGACAGCAAAAAAAACAAAGCCTACTCCGGAGCCCTCCTTTGTTTGTGACAGTGTGTGACAGAGGAAAGGGAGCTCAAAGGAAACTGTTTTCCTTTTCCAACCTAAAATCCTACGCCGTATCACCCCAATCCCCAAACTCTAAACCCAAACCTCAAACCCCTAACCCCAAAGCCCCAGACCCCAAACCCCTAAACCCCAATGTTAACGTCCCATTTATAAATGGGGTGGTAATAGTAATATTCGCCGGGCCAGAGGGCCCCAGCCGAAGACTACTTTCCATTACGGGAGGTTTTCGGGCCGATGTATGTAAACAAGTCTATGTAGGGGGGTCCGGTGATAATAATAATGGGGTGGTAATTGTAAAATTTTTCGGCCAGGAATTGAAAATTTACTGAAAATGGCTTAAGAGTTCCAATGCAGAGAAGACTTTTCAGCTGAGCTGGCTTGAAAGAGCAGAACCCTTCACAAAAAGCAGACCCTGACAGCTGACCCCCCCCCCCCCCCAGACCCCCAGACCCCCAGACCCCAGACCCCCAGAATCCGCATTATTGACACCCCTCCTTTTTTTCCACCCCTCCAAACCCCAGGGACCAAAACAAGATTTGGGGGGGGTTTATTCAAGGGACCCTAACATTAAACCCCAAACCCCCCCAAAACCCTAAACCCCCAACCCCAAACCCTAAACCCCAAACCCCTAAACCCAAAAACAACCCAAACCCTAAACGCCAAACCCTGAACCCTGAACCCTAAACCCTAAACCCCAAACCAAAAGCCCGAAATCCCTAACCCCTAAACCCCAAACCCTAAACCCTAAACCCCAAGCCCCAAACCCTAAACCCTAAACCCTAAACCCTAAACCCCAAACCCTAAACCCTAAACCCTAAACGCCGCACCCTGGGCCTCCGGAGCCCACTCGAAGACCCCGGAGCCCCAGGCTTCGTACTCGGCTCCTGGCTGGGTCTCACGAACCCTGAATGTGGGTTTAGGGTTTAGGGTTTAGGGTTTAGGGTTGAGGGTTGAGGGTTGAGGGTTTAGGGTTTAGGGTGGTAGGGTTTAGGGTTTAGGGTTTAGGGTTTAGGGTTTAGGGTTTAGGGTTTGGGGATTAGGGTTTAGGGTTTGGGGTTAAGGGTTTAGGCTGGTGGGTGGTAGGGTTTAGGGTTTAGGGTTTCGGGCTTAGGGTTTGGGGTTGTATTGGGGTTCTAGAGTTGAAGGTTTTCGCCTTTTGGGGCTCTAGGGTTTAAGGTCTAAGCTTCTGGGGTTCTGGGGTTTGCAGTTTAAGGTTTTGGGGCTCTAGGGTTGAAGCTCAACGGTTTTGGGGTTCTTGGGCTTGGAGGTTACGTTTTTGGGGTCCAGTATGTATATCTCTTATACATTGAAGGTTTAGGGTTTAGGGTTTAGGGTTTGGGGTTTAGGGTTTAGGGTTTCGGGTTTCGGGTTTAGGGTTTCGGGTTTCGGGTTTAGGGTTTAGGATTAGGATTTAGCAGTCAGATCATGTGCGTTTAAAGTCAGAGTTTAAAAGCAGGCTAACTCTAAACCCGAAGCCCAAGCCCTCATTTGCAACCCTAACCCCAACCCGAATCAGAACCCGAATCAGAACCCTAAACCCTAAACCCTAAACCCACAAGTAAACCCCGAACTCTAGGGTCCAACGCCTTTTTGAGCCCAGGACTGCTGAGGCTCCGGTGTAGACCTTAAGCCCTAGACCCCTAAGCCCCGAACCCTAGACCCCCAGACACTAAGCCCTAGACCCTAAACCCTAAACCCTAGACCCTAAACCTAAAACCCCACCCGAAGCTTCAAACCCAGAATCCTGAACTCTAGACCCCCTATACCCTAACAAACCCTAAACCCTAAGCCCTACCCGAACAAACCCTAAACCCTACCCTTAAAAAACAACTACCCGAAGCTTCAACCCAGAATCCTGAACTCTAGACCCCCTCAACCCTCCTCTAGTAAACCCTAAACCCAAAGCCCTACCCTGACAAACCCTAAACCCTACCCTTAAAAAAACGAAAACTAAACCCTGAACCCTGAACCCTGAACCCTGAACCCTAAACCCTAAACCCTAAACCCAGCAAGAATGGCTTCAGAGCCGTCCTGGGGGCTCGTACAGCCAGGCATCGCGGCCCAGGTAGCAACGGAAGCCTCCGAGCATGGAAGCTGCAGGATGCCTCAGCTGTTGCAGGGTTTAGGGTTTAGGGTTTAGGGTTTAGGGTTTAGGGTTTAGGGTTTCGACTGTAGGGTTTAGGGTTTAGGGTTTTTTGCCACCCGCTTAGCTGATCTCTCGGACACTCTGCAGGGAATTGGCGGTTGAAGTACAGGTCGTCAAAAGGGTTGCCGTCCAGGCTGAGCGCAAACAAGTCATCAGACCCCAACCAAAAAGGCCATCAACCAACAAGACGCTCTCTCAGCCCAGTCGCAACCTGCTCAAATTTGCTGACAACTGGAGTCGTATCACTACCCTCACAGGGCTCTTAACCACAATGCAAGAGTGCAAAAAACAGTCGCAAGTGTACAGCACTGAGAGCCCCATGAGCGGCTTGTTCAAATGCTTGTGGGGGGGGCCGAAGGTGCGGGTGAGGTATCCAGGCTCTAGCAAAGCTGCAGAACCTCTGCCTGCATTGAGCTCGTGTACAACGGCTGCCTACCCAGACTTCCCCCCTGCTCTTTGCGCAAAATCAAACCGGGGTGGACTTGATTCACAGTTACAGAACGACAGCAAACACAACAAGTAGACAACATCAGTTGGAATGTCCACCCCCCGTAAGGGTCTTGAAAGAGCCCTACGCATGTTTCGAGGTGGGATGCATCATCAAGATTCATCTACAGTTCCCAGCAAAGGCCAGGGCGGTTCATGGTGCCGAGATTCCCAGTCGTTACCACACCAACCCAACCACCACATCGATCCAACAGATGCAACACCACTGACCTCAGCAAACCACCACCACATCGATCCACACAACTGAGAACTCAACCCTCAGGAATCTCGGGTTCAGTCTGTGAGACCATCATCATGCGGGCCAAGGACTACGATGGGTTCCCATCCTCCAAGCCTCTATGCATGAGTGTTTGCTCACACACTGGCGCTCGCGAAGAGTTCCGTCATGCACCTCACAGCCATGACGATGATGGCCGCTTCGCGGCCTCCAGCACATGTCCGTGCATCCCTCAAATTGACAGGGATGCAGGCATCCTCTCTCACCTCGTCTCGAGGCTTCAGAGGTGAGCGTGGGGACGGCTGGCTCGGGGACAAGCTCAAAGCCCTCAGACGAGTTAGCGTCCTGCTCTTCCGTGGGGCATGCTCGACGACGCTCATACTCCAAGCGAGCCATCACCTGGCGCCATCCTTCAAGAGGGCAGTGAGTCGCACCAACAGCATAATTGCCTGCATGACAGTGTCCGGCAGACCGGACTCCATGGTGTCACGGCAAGTCGCAAAGGACTCGGGAGAGGACAGGCACAGAATGCTTCAGGGGAATGGCTTGAGCCAAAATGGCAACCCTAGGGTTTTTAGGGTTTAGGGTTTAGGGTTTAGGGTTTAGGGTTTAGGGTTTAGGGTTTAGGGTTTAGGGTTTAGGGTTTCGACTTTAGGGTTTAGGGTTTAGGGTTTAAGGTTTAGGGTTTCGACTTTAGGCATATATTAATAGTATCATATCGCCATATACTGCATGATAATACACTGAAAGAATACTACAATGATATAAAACAATAGCAACCCTAAACCCTGAACCCTGAACCCTAAACCCTAAACCCTAAACCCCAAAACCCTAAACCCTAGTGTCATTTTTTTTGCAGAAGGGGGCGCAGCTTCCGGCCCTTGGGGTCGAAGTGCATCTCTCGCACATCCTCGGGCTCCTCAAGAGAAGGAGAGGAGAGCTTCTTATGTGACTTTTAGGGTTTGGGGTTTAGGATTTAGGGTTTGGGGTTTGGGGTTTGAGTTTTGGGGTTTGGGGTTTGGGGTTTAGGTTCTGTGGCTACATAGAACTCAGAGGGTTTTGTTCATAGGGCTTCTTGTAGAATTTACAGGGTTTGTAGGGCACAGATGGGTTTGCTTATAGGGGTCTTATAGAACTTGTATGGTTTGTGGGGCTCGTGTGGCCTTGTAGGGTTTAAGGCTTACGGGGCTTCCCCTTACAGGGTTTGAGGGGCATGTAGGGCTTGAGGCTTATAGGGCTCTGTAGGGTTTAGGGTTTAGGGTTTAGGGTTTAGGGTTTAGGGTTTAGGGTTTAGGGTTTAGGGTTTAGGGTTTAGGGTTTAGGGCTTCGGGTTTAGGGTTTAGGGTTTTGGGCTTGTAAAGGGATTCGGCTTAGGAGCTGATCTGGTCTATAGGTGCTGGTGTAGGGCTTAGTGGACACATTCTTCTACACGTTCACATAGCATTTTGCTTGTTCTCTCTGCTCTTAGGCGAACACACCGGGAGAATTGAGCAGATGTTGAAAAGGTGAGGGTACGCTCATCATAGCAATTAGGTGCCCAGCGTTGCAGTCATGCCAACAAGTTTCCAGTACTACTCTGCCTTCTCTTGCGGGAAAATATCTCCGTGGCAACAGCCAGTCCAGGCGAACTATCGTTGCGGGATGTTCAGGGAGAATGCAAGAATGAGAGGTGTCGACCGCGTCGACCCTCACAGGTGCGGTACATCGTGCTGTACCGCTGCGTGCATCACCGGGCGGGAGACCAGGTGGCGGGAGACCAGGTAAGAAAAACAATCACACACAACGTCCAGCAGAAGCACCGCTAGGAGGTACAGTACACCCACAGGTGGGGGGTGTCACAGACGGAGCCTGGAGACAAGGGTCTTGGGATTTGGAGCGGGTGCAAAGCACACACGCATCACCACCCGGCGGGGAAGGCTTAGAAAGGTGGGAAAGTCCAGGCGGCATGCGGCTTGTTAGCATATCCTCGCTTTTCAGGGGTCAGGGCATTGCAACTTCTCCGTCTCCTCGCGATGACAAAGCGCGACTCCACGCAGGGCGGGGAGAGAGAGAGCGGGTTTAGGGTTTAGGGGGTTTAGGGTTTAGTTTTTAGGGTTTCGGGTTTAGGGGCAACAACTCGGTCAAGCCAGCAGCCACTGCCTTCGATGCCGACAAATGGAAAACAACTCATACATGACTTGGGTCACGGAAGCGTGCGGTGGCGCATGTGCACTGTGCCAGGCTTCGGGGGTCTTTTGGGCTTTATTGAGTTTCAATGGGTACTTGCTGCATCGCTTCACGAGGGACGGATTCTCACGTTTACTACCAACCTCATCTGAGAACAGCGTGACTTCAAGGGCCGCATTACTCTCGCACGCAGCCGCCACAACCCAGTCCTCGTCCTCAAGAAGTGCTTTCAGCATCGTAGCTGGAACCCATGTGGCGTTGCCGTCCGACCTTCGTCACGAATCTTTGCTATGCCCGGAAGAAATTCCCGCTTAAATCTGCAAGTCCTTTGGCCCTTGAATGTAGAGGTTTTGTTAGCTGAAGCCTGATGCAATGCATCTTTGAAGGTCTTCTCCTAGGTACCCCAGGCTGCAGGCAACGAGCCCCCCCTAAGATCAATGTCACGAACCAACCCTTTAAGTGTCCCTAAACCCTAAACCCTAAACCCTAAACCCTAAACCCTAAACCCTAAACCCTAAACCCTAGTAGTCTCTTGGTTCCGAAACCCATGGTTCGAAAAGGGCACAAGCAGGTTTCACGAGCGATGAACCCTGAAGACTAAAACCTGAACTGAACCCGACGGACAGGCCGATGCCCCTTTAAAAAATGAAGGTACCTTGATGCATACAAAGGCCTGTAGAGTTTACAGTTCCATCCTTCATAAAGGGTTATGGCTCAATCTTGTTCCGAGTTCCCTGCATTTCAATATACACAGTGTCGTCCGAGCGGTCCTCCTCCAAAATTCTTCCTCGCTGACATCTTCGACTTCAGGCTCTAGGATGCTGTAATCTCCCTCCAAAGGTTTAATGGGCTGCCTGCCCCCCAGAGCCCTGTGCCCCAAACCCTAAACCCCGAAGCATACGTTATCATCCCGGTTCCAGGTTGACCCATCCACGGTCCTTCTTGGCCCAAGAATGTAACCACCTCGGACAGCTCGCTGTCGCTGATGTCACCATCATCGATGGAGGCTTGCAGCATGCGCCTCGCCTCCTCAAGGCTGACACTCTTGATCCGCAACCAGCCCTTGGCCAGGGAAGGGTTTAGGCTTAAGCAGGGTTCAGGCAACTCCGCTCGGCTTTATGGCAAAAAACCATCAAGTCGGATGACGAATCAGAATCGAATCGAAGCTTGCAAGTGGAGGACGAGCGCATGCGACCGGCCTCGACAAATCGGCAAGGAAACAACGAAACCGACCAAGCAGCCGGCGAGTAGAAACTTGGCTCCAACCAGCCAGGAACTGCATAATCATGCTGAGATGCGTCGTCTCGGTGACAGCGTAAGGACATCTTGCCTGCGTCCAAGTCCACGGCAAGACCCAGCACGTCTCCTGAATGAAGAGCATCACCAACACTGGCTTATGTTGCTTCTGGCCCGCAACGAAATTGCACTTGGTTTTACTGACCCTTCAGCCTCAACCCTTGAACCCTGTTGGTGGCGGTGTTGCCAACCCCGCCAGAAGCTGTCTCCTGGACGCCATGGTTTCAACGCGGCCTCCGGGCAGCTGGGCAAGGCATGACTTTTTACTGCGGATCTAGGCGGTCTAGGATGCAAAGGACCATCATTTCACAGTTTCGCGCACACACACACACACACACACCTGCCTGTGAGCTCAGGCCAGCATTCCACTTCATCATCCGCCAGCCCTCGAAAGCAAAGCTCTCTGGGTCGCCCCCGATGGCCCCGCCAGAAAAGTCGGCGGTGGCCCAGCCCACACGGGGGCTCTCGGGGCGGCTGAGCAGGCGCAGCTCGTAGTAGAACTTTCCTGAACTCCGGGAGAGTTCCGGAAGACCTTGCAAGGGCCCTAGAATCACCCCTATTCTTGCGGTTCGGGGTTTGGTTTTTCGGGGAGAGAGGGAGAAAGAGAGAGGGAGAGGGAGGGAGAGAGAGAGAGAGGAGAGAGAGAGCGAGTCGAAACAGGGTCTAGGGTTTGGGGTTTAGGGCTTATCGAGGTTGCTCCCCCCCTACGTCCACTACAACGCCCGCCCCCCACCCCCCCCCCCCCCACCCCCACCTGCCACAAACCAGCTGCTGGCAGATCTCGGCGCCTCGCAGTCTCCCAGGGCGCCCAGCCCAATCATCCGGGGCTTCCGCGCCAGGAGCTGGGCATCGAAGCCCCAGGATCGGTCTCCCAGCAAGGCCTGGAGGGTCTAGGGTTTAGGGTTTAGGGTTTAGGGTTTAGGGTTAGTTTAGGGTTTAGGGTTTAGGGTTTAGGGTTTAGGGTTTAGTTTAGGTTTAGGGGGTTTAGGGTTTTAGGGTTTAGGGTTTAGGGTTTAGGGTTTAGGATTTAGGGTTTAGGGTTTAGGGTTTAGGGTTTAGGGTTTAGGGTTTAGGGTTGAGGGTTGAGGGTTGAGGGTTGAGGGTTGAGGGTTGAGGGTTTAGGGTTCAGGGTTTGGGGTGATTTGGGGCTCATGGTTTGGGGTTTGGCGTTTAGGGATTTAGGGGCCTCGTGGGGAGTTGAAGGCTTAGGCAATCCCATGGGTAGTTTTCAGTAGGGTTGTACGGCCTGCCATGCTTTTGTCGGTACCTAACATAGGGGTGGAAACGTGGCTACCTTAACACTTACAAGTACCATGAGCCTTCAAGCAAGGCTTCTCATGCTGAGGATGTAGGGCGCCCTCAAATCCCAAACTGAGTCGCAATACCCTAAACAACCCAAAAAACTCTGCTGAAACTGTATCTCCTGAAACCCTAAACCCCCACGCGCTAAACACAACGCCCCTAAACCTAAAGCTTCAAAAGCCCGCAACCTGAGGGACCCTATAGGCTCTAAATATCCTTTACACATACTCTATGCTACAAATGAATTAATAGATTCTGTAGAATTACCTTTATACATTATACGGTTATACGCTATATACAGAAGATATATTCTACATATCGACCCTTGAATACCCCTTGAGCCCACTTACTACCCAATGTTCCACACCCATGCACCTTAAGAGTCGGCCGCAAAACCCTCAACCCCAAACCCTCAACCCTCGAAACCGATAACCCTCTAAACCCTATACTTTAGGGTTTAGGGTTTAGGGTTTAGGGTTTAGGGTTTAGGGTTTAGGGTTTAGGGTTTAGGGTTTAGGCCCTAAACCCTCTAAACCCTCTAGACCCTCTGAACCCTCAGCTCCCATAGACCTCGCGGGCCTCGCTGGCCCACTCCCCAACTCCAGCAGCCCAGGGCCTGTGGGTTGTGGGTTTAGGGTTGAGGGTTTAGGGTTTAGGGTTTAGGGTTTGGGGTTTGGGGTTTCGGGTTTCGGGTTTCGGGTTTCGGGTTTGGGGTTTAGGGTTTCGGGTTTCGGGTTTGGGGCCTTTAGTTTTTTGTTGAGTAAACGTGTGGGAAGGGGGGAGGGGGGGAAGGCGGCAGGGGGGGAAGGGCAGGGTTTAGGGTTTTGCGTTTGGGGTTTGGGGTTTGGGGGGTTTGGGGTTTAGGGTTTCGGGTTTGGGGTTTGGGGTTTGGATTCTGGGGACTTCGCAGGTTTCAAACCCTAGAACCGTATTCAGCCCCCAGACAAATCGCAAATGCTCGAAATCATCTGGTTCTGCAGCATCAAGCTGGCTCGTAGAAGGAAGAAAAGTTCGTTTTGTTAAAAAGGCGCAACGAATATAATCTCAAACCCTAAACCCTAAACCCTAAACCCTAAACCCTAAACCCTAAACCCTAAACCCTAAACCCTAAACCCTAAACCTAAAAAAATAAGAGGGGGGGGAAGGGGTACCACCGAGATCCTAGGGGCCTGTGTTTCGCGGATGGCGGCTGGTAGATCCAAGCCTGGCAGTTGGCTTAGGGTTGAAGAGGGTCTAGGGCTTTTCAGGGTTTAGGGTTTAGGGTTTAGGGTTTAGGGTTTAGGGTTTAGGGTTTAGGCTTTCGGGTTCAGGGTTTAGGGTTTAGGGTTTGTTGAGGGTTCCTTTGCCGCCCGGCTAGCTGAAATGTACGTCCACATTGCAGGGCTTAGGGTTTTTTGGGCTAGGGGTGTAGGGCGCACGAAGGGGCTTTGAGCTTTCGGGGTTGCCTCTGCTTGGAGAGGCGGCAAGTCCTGCAAGCTCCAACGCTCCAAAACCCTAAACCCTAACCCCAAAACCCTGAACCCTCAACCCTAAACCCCAATCCCTAAACCCTACACCCTACACCCTAAACCCTAAACCCTAAACCCTAACCCTAAACCCTGAACCCTTTGTTGGGCATCCGGGCTCGGGCTCTGCCCGACCGTTCAGGAATCCAAAAACCCCAAGCCCCAAATCCTCAAGGCCCTAAACCCTACGGGCAACAAACCCTTAGCCCTAAAACCCTGTTTTCCACAGCCCTAAACCCTAAACCCGAAACCCTAAACCATTTACCCTAATCCCTTCCCCCTTTTATTAAAGGTACCCCTAATACTAAAAATACTTTCCGGAAAAATCCGGCCGAAACCGAGCCCGCCTTTTAAACCCCATTTCGGAATTAGGGGGGTGGTTCAGGCCTCCAAGAAATCCTTCAACACCAATAAAACCCTCAGAGGGTTTAGGGTTGGGGGTCTAGGGTCTCTGTCTGAGCCTTGCTGTGCTGCGAGAGTTGAGCTCTCCCCCTCTCTCTGTCTCTCTGTCTCTCTGTCTCTCTGTCTCTCTGTCTTAAGTTGACTATTTGAGTAACCCTGAAGTCTAATGAATTATGACATTTCGATAAAAACACCCCCTAATACTAAAAACACATTTCGAATTTTTAAAGGGGGGGGGGGGGGGTGGGGCTCCCCCCCGTTTAATATTAGGGGGAAGGGATTAAACCCTAAACCCTAAACCTTTTACCCTAAGCCTTAAACCCGAAACCCTAAACCCTAAACCCTAAACGGGTCCAAGCTTGACAAGTGCCTCGCGGCCCAGGCGTAGTCGGAACATGCCCCACTTCATGGTGACGGCAGGGTACCTCAAAGAAGCTTTAGGGCTTAGGGGGTTTAGGGTTGAGGGTTTAGGGTTTAGGGTTTAGGGTTGAGGGTTTAGGGTTTAGGGTGAAACCCTAAAACCTAGCGGGGTTTAGGGTTTAGTAAGGTTGCCGGAGTCAAGGGCTTAGAGGTCCCAATCTGGGCACAGATCCCGGCCGTTCGACTGGAAGTCCATGGAATAGCCAGCCTGCGGTTTAAGGTTTGATCTTGCCTCCACCCCAAACCCCGAAATAGTTTAGGGCTTAGCGGCTATTAGGGCTGTTGTTTTGCCACTGTAGAGCTTAGGGTTTAGGGTTTAGGGTTGAGGGCTTAGGGTTTAGGGTTTTGGTTAGGGTTTCGGGTTTAAGGCTTAGGGCTTAGGGCTTAGGGCTTAGGGCTTAGGGCTTAGGGCTTAGGTCTCAGGGCTTAGGGCTTAGGGTTTCGGGTTTAGGGTTTAGGGCTACCGGAAACATCCTGCCAGAAGTACCTCTGTGTGCCAGGTGCCCTGGTGCGAAAGCTGCATTTTGCCGGAAGAAAAATCCAACGCCAGGCCCAGGACGTCGCCGGGTTCCCATGGCTGCAGTGGCACCTCAGGGTTTAGGGTTTAGGGTTTAGGGTTTAGGGTTTAGGGTTTAGGGTTTAGGGTTTAGGGTTTAGGGTTTAGGGTTTAGGGTTTAGGGTTTAGGGGCGTTTATTCTACCAAGGGTTTAGGGACATTTTGGGGTTCAGGGTTTAGGGTTCAGGGTTTGAGTTTTAGGTTTCTTTTTTGCCGGCTGCCTAGCAGCATCGCACCACGCAGCAGGGATGCAAAGTGTCCGACAGTCAGGGTATGGGCTCCACATCAAACCCAAGATGCCCCAGATTGAAACCCTAAACCCTAAACCCTAAACCCTAAACCCTACTAGAATCCCTATTGAGGACGGTGAGTATCAGGTGGGCACATCCCAACCCTGGAGCCTCCGGTCCTTTGGCCGCGTGGACCTGGAACATGCCCCCGCCATCTTGGCCTAGGTTGGCCCAGGCGGGGCCCTCGGCAAAACTCTTCCCCAAATAAGATCTTCTTAAGCCAGGAAAGGTACAACAAATTTGCCACCAAGGTCCTAGACTTAGACCCTAGACCCGAGAGGTTACACCCTACAAGCTTTAAAACAGTAAACTCTTCCACGGTCCTCATCTGGTGGCTCTGCCAGCACCAGCTCTCTGTGTCAAAGCCGAGGTCTCGGCTTCGTTGATAGCCCGTCGTCGCCCAGCCAGCATTGATTCTGGCCTAGGTGGTGCCTTGAAGCCCTGTCATTCATGTGTACCCCAAATAAGCAAATAAAGCAGGAAACCATGTACGTATACATACATACATGTATATATATGTACATTAGTATGTAATGTATGTGTAAACAAATAAACAAACAAATATATATATATATATATATATTCCGAAGTTCTCGAAGACCCAAACATGAAAAACAAATCAAAATTTCCCGAGTGGCAAATCTGCTGAGCAGCTGCACCTCGAAGTAGTAAGCGCCGCTGCTCTGGCTGGTTTGCTTTGCTGCTGTGAGCACGACCCTCTCAAAGTCAGTCTCCTGGGTTGCTGCTAGGGAGCTTAAGTTACCGTCATGAGGAAGCCTTAATACACATATATAACATAACTGGCTTCCGTCATGCGGAAGCCTTCAGACAAGCATACAACATAACGATCATGGTAACTTTGCTTAAGATCCCTTTACACGAACACAGTCTCCTTGGGAGGCCCGCTTTGGTCAAGCGTGCACAAGTTGCGCAAGGACGCCACGCCTTTGCCTCGCTGGCTCAAGGCTTCTTCCCGCTGGCTCCAGGCTTCTTCGAATAAGCGAACCAGATCCTGGGGTAGATTTGGGGGCGAGAAGGGGGGCAGTGAAGAATTAAAAAAAGGCTTTGTGTTGGTATATCGAGGGTTAGCGCACAAAACTATGGGTCACACAGGGAGGGCTTTCTTGGGATCATCGACCCATGGAACGCTCAAATGCGTTACAAGTCCTAAGCCCTAATTAAACCCTAAACCCTAAAATCAATCTCAGACTCCTGGTGGCTTGGCTGGTCGGGGCTATCGTGCTCGTCGTCCGGCTTGCTGAGCTTGCTTGCAGCGTTCCAGGCCCGCTGAAAGTCAACAGCGTCCACTGCCGGATGGAGCAACCACTTGACGGCACCTACCTGGCCTTTCCTGGCACCACTGTTGGGGCACCGTTTAAAAATCATCTCTTTTGTGTTCCTTACGTGGTTTAAGTATTCATAAAGAATGTAACATGCTTTGCAACAATGACCCCTTTTCCTGGCAGCGGCCACAATGGCGGCGTCCCCACTCCGGTTGCGCCAGCCCAGATCGCAGCGGGCGTCCATGAGCACCTGGAGAACGGCGGTGTTGCCACAACGGGCTGCCACGAAAGTGGGAAGCTCGCCTTCTTCCTCAACTGATCTTCGGCGTTTAGGGTTTAGGGTTTAGGGTTTAGGGTTTAGGGTTTGGGGTTTGGGGTTTGGGGTTTAGGGTTTAGGGTTCCTCAGCTGCTCCTAGGGCCCTTTTTTGCACAAGGCTGTAGGACTTGCTAATTTTGACTTACCACTTTTGAGGGTTCAGGATGGGGACGCTCTTGCTTATGTTAAGAGCCCTTAGTAAGGATTAGAGTACCCCCCCCCCCCAAAAAAAAAAAAAAAAAAACTACTCCCAACTAAGGACTGTTAGTATAAGCGCGAGCATCCCAAGGTTTAGGGTTTAGGGTTTCGACGCAACCTTTCCCCCATCCTAAACCCTAAACCCTAAACCCTAAACCCTAAACCTTAAACCCTAAACCCTAAACCCTCCCCCCAAAAAAAAACGCGCCGAGGATCGGTGGTCGTTGTGAAATCGCAACCGGCCGTGTGCAGCCAGCTCAGGGCGGCGATCTGAACCTGCAAGTGCAGGGAGGGGGTTGGTAGGGTGGTAGGGTTTAGGGTTTAGGGTTGAGGGTTTAGGGTTTAGGGTTGAGGGTTTAGGGCTTAGGGCTTAGGGCTTAGTGTTTGAGGTTGGGCGATTCTGGGATAAGTATATAGGGACCATAAGGGGAGTATGCCGGCCCCTATATCAAGCGACCGCCCCGCACCTTCTCATCAACTTCGGACTGCAGCAGGCTGCTCAAATCCTGCAAGCACTTCCAACTAAACCAAAACTTGAAATGCTCCCCCCTTATACTCGCAGCCCTTAGAAGGGAGTATACTTGGGGGCACTATAAATCCTTGTTGTTGTGGGGAGGGGGGGGGAAACCCTCGACCCTAAAACCTGGGCTCTCAGAGGTGCAACCCTGAACCCTGAATCCTCAATGCTGAACTCTAGATCCCATAAACCCTGAAACCCTGAACCTTAGACCCTGAACCGTTTTGAGCAGGGGCTGCAGCGCACATTGCCCCGATCCTTCAGCTGCCACACTAGACCCTGAACCCTGAACCCTAAAACCCTAAAACCCCAAACCCTAAACTCTAAACCTTGACCCCTTGACGACCCATGCCTAGGCTCCCCGTGGGCCGTCCTCTGCCTTCACCGACTCCGTGGAAGCACCATGCTGCCACAGCATGTCCATGACCTGGGGTTTAGGGTTTAGGATGTTAGGGTTTTAGGGTTTTAAGGTTTTAGGGTTTAGGGTTTAGGGTTTAGTAATTTAGGGTTGGGATTCCAGTACCTCGCTAGGCTCCCTTGAAAGTAGGGTTTTGGGGGGGGGGGGGGGGGGGGGGGGGGTTAAGGAACCCCAAACACGTTACCAAAGCAACGCCCAGCGACCTCCGTCGAACCCAGTCGGGCGGCGAGCGCCAGGGGTGCGCTCCCGGAACTATTTCGCGCGTTGCAATCGGCATTGAACTGCACCTAGGTTCGGTTCAGGGTTTAGGGTTTAGGGTTTAGGGTTTAGGGTTTAGGGTTTAGGGTTTAGGGTTTAGGGTTTAGGGTTTAGGGTTTAGGGTTTAGGCTTTAGGCTTTAGGCTTTAGGCTTTAGGGCTTCGGGCTTAGGGCTAGGGCTTAGGGCTTAGGGCTTCGGGCTTAGGGCTTAGGGCTTACGGCTTAGGGCTTAGGGCTTCTTAGGGCTTAGGGCTTAGGGTTTCCCTAGGAGGTTGAAGAGCCTAGGGTGTCGGCACGAAACCCTAACCTGCTTATTAGAGGGACAGCTGCTTACATAGTCCCCATATGTCTAAGTAGCGCCTTAATGACCCCCAAGTAACCCCCAAAGTCCCTGAAAAGGGTCCCTCCTTTAGCCCCTTCAGCTTACCAAAAGGAAAAGAAACAGGTATGACCCTAAACCCTAAACCCTAGACCCTAAACCCTAAACCCTAAACCCTAAACCCTAAATCCTGGGCACCAGCAACCGGCAGATCTGGAGGTGCCCCTCCTCGCGCTCTTCGAGTAGTTATGGGGGTATAAGGAGGGAGGCCCCTTCATGTTCTTCCCCTATACAACCCCTGTGGTTTAGGGCTTAGGGTTTAGGGTTTAGGGTTTAGGGTTTAGGGTTTAGGGTTTAGGGTTTAGGGTTTAGGGTTTAGGGTTTAGAGTTTAGGGTTTAGGGTTTAGGGTTTAGGGTTTAGGGTTTAGGGTTTAGGGTTTAGGGTTTAGGGTTTAGGTAGGGTTTAGGGTTTAGGGTTCAGGGTTAAGGGTTTAGGGTTTAGGGTTCAGGGTTTATATATACCTTCTATAGTTCCTGTATAAGTAGCCTCTAAATAACCCCTAGAACCCCTAAGGTCCCTTGTAAAGGTCCCTCCTTTCGCCCCTTGCTCGTTGGAATCCTAAAGAAGCCTAATTCCCATGGCCCCTTACGTGTTTTCGAGGGCTTTCATCACCCGCCAAGCAGACAGGCCACACTGCGGGGCAACATTTCGGGACAAGAGCTGTACTTGAAGAGGATGTAGGGCAACTTAGGGTTTATAGTTGTCAAAAACCTTTTGCAGCAGGCTTGGCAGGTAAACCCCAAAAGCCTAAACCCTAAACCCCGAATCCCTAAACCCCAAACCCCTAAACCTTTGCCATGGTCTCCGTGAAGTTCTTGAAGCCGCCAATAGGCGTCAAGGCCTTGTGGAGGGGCCGCTCCTGCACGGGCTGGCAAACAACTACAGCAGAGCCCTAAACCCTAAACCCTAAACCCTAAACCCTAAACCGTGGCTCTGCACCCTAAACCCTTTTTTTTGCAACTGGGCTTGGGACGAGCCAGATCCGGTTGCCCTAAAGCTTCACCCTAAACCCGAAACCCTAACCCTATGTTTGGGTTGCAAGGTTTGGGGTTCAGGGGTTTAGGGCCTCTGGGGTTCAGGTTGGGGTGTTAGGATTTGGGGTTTCGGGTTTGGGGTTTGGGGGCTGCACGGTGCCTTTAGGGTTCTCTTTGGGGTAACTTTAGGGACTATTGCATGGGTCTCGAGGTGCGTTGGGAACTATGTAAGACCCCACATCCGAATTCTCAACTTAGTTGTCCAGTAGCCTGGGGGAACTAAAATAAGGGGGCTGTGTTACCCCAAAATGGTTAAAGGTTCCCTACTCTACTACCAGGTCAACATACTCACCCTAAACCCGTTCTTTGCATCCGGGCTTGGGCAGTCGGCCGGGAATGGAAGCAAACTCATGCAGCCTAAACCCTAAACCCTAAACCCTAAACCCTAAACCCTAAACCCTAAACCCTGAACACTTGTGTCCTAGGGGATCTGGCCTTGTCGGCACTCAATGAGTTCGCGTCTGCATAGCTGTTGAGCAGCTCGCGCACTTTGCGCACGTCGCCGTCGAGGCAGTGCCTTGGCCAGCTTACGGCTTACAAGCAGCACCGACGGAAACATCCAATTTCTTGCTGCAAAATTACCCTGAACCCTAAATCCTGAACCAAGCTTTCTCTGTGGAAAGAAGCTGGAGATTGGACACTGCACCCCTTAAACGTCGAGAAAAGAACTGGAACTCACCTGGATGTTCATGGGTAGAGTTCAAATTCGCCGTCGCCTTGGTTTGGGCACCTTTCTTAAAC